TTAAGAATGGAGACTCACTTCTAAGGTATAGTAACAGGTTTTGTAATTAATTTAATAGGACTGTAAATACTTAGTATAATGGCATTATAAAATTTCCTACACTATTCAGAATTTTTATAAGAACACAAATATCCAATTTTATCTTCAAAGACATAAGGTTATTATTTATTCATATATTGTTAAGTGTGTCATAATTATTCATTTGAACCTTCATTAAATCTTTTTTTCTTTCCTGTAGTTTATTGTAGTTTTTTCATGTCTAAGTGAATTACATTTTACATGAATATTCATGAATATATGTGTAATTCATTTGCTATATCTTTTTATTTATTTAGTTTATTTATGAAATAAGTAAGGGACACATATAAGAATAAGTTGCAGTAGTTAATCAGTTAGTTGGTATATAATAAGTAATAAATAATTTATTTGACTAAAGATTTTGCTGTTATGCATTAAAAAATTTAGAACATGAAAGAAATTAACATTTTCAGTAAATTCCACTCTTTTTATCTCAAGACTCATGTTGTTTATAAAAAATTTTTAAATGTTTCTGCATGAGTCTAATGAGATTATTTCTTACAGATACCATACATAGATGGTTTTATGTTTAAGTATTTAATAGGAGTTATGACAGTAATTTGTGCACTGGCAAACTTATATTCCATCTTTTCGGTGATTTTCACCGGAGGAGTGGGCAAGAATGGTTCAACTGTGGCTGTAAGTTAGTCAATTAGACTTTTGTTTTTGGAGATATGGAAATGGGAGCAGCATGGCATGAGGAGCGGCGCTAAAAATTACTTTTTTGCTATGAGACTTATTGTAACGCATTTTATTTCCAAATTTCTGACTTATTTATTCCCCTTTATCCATTTCTTTCTTATTTTCCTGCATCATATCATTATTCATAATAAATGCATCATTACTTGCATTTGTACCTATAATTGTTCATCAAATACATTATTATGAAAAGAAAATGTATTAAAAAGTATTAATAGAATTATTTGTGATTTAGTGGAAATCACATGTAGGGTATATTCTGTGAAATAACGTTCTGTAGAAATAATTTATATTTTCTCTTGAATATATTTGACATATTATGCTTTTGAAACAATTTCTATCGGAGAAATGATTATTAATAGTAATAAAAATATAGTATAGGTAAAGTATGAATATACTTTTGTAGTATATGTATAAGTAAATATACTGCATAAGTATTTTATACCTAATATTTTTTTTAATTTGCATAACATAGTTTGCATCAGCATAAAACTGTAGGCAGATAATTTAACATAGAACGTGCATTTTGCATCATGATCATAATTCATTTATTTGAAATGTAATCTTTTACTCAAATCACAAGTTGAATCATTATAATGTAAATATTATTTGTGTTAGAAGAATAGACAAAAAACTGACAAAACAATCGCGCATTTGCTACACTCTGCAGCTCCCTCGTGCCTGATGTTTTATTTTAACACTTCTACATACAATAGTGGGCCACAAGTGGAACTTGCCCATGAAAAATGTTTTAATGTGTAATCAAATAGTAAGGCTTACTTAGGATAAATAAGATGTAGGGTAAATTTAGGATAAATTTTTATTGCATTTATACAATTTTTTTAACAAGCGAGATTTTGTACATTTGTTTAGATGCCAGTGCTTGGTGTAGGCACAGTCAATAACTACGTAGCAGTGTTATTTTATGCAGGCTACATTCATGTATTCCTTGAATTCTGTAAAGTGTTTGAGTCTGGTGGGATTGGAAAGAATGGTTCCACAATTGCAGTAAGTTTCAAAAATAAAAACTGGTTAGTTGCATACATACAAATTCTCATACTTTTGCCACTATAGCATAGCAATGAAATCTTTCTTCTTTCATTCTGCTTGCCTATCTAGATTATTGGATTACTGTTACTCATGTTAAAAAATAGTTTCTGCATTAGTAAGTTTCTACTTCATAAACTACATGCACATTACTTTATCACAATAAAAAATTTTTGTATGGTGTGCAGGCTATGAAAAGATACAGCTTATGTTCTAATATTATTTATACACTGCAATATCTTCTACACAAATTTATCTGTTATTCCATTTAGGTGCTTACAACTATGGTTTCTGAGTACTTGGCATTTGTTGAAGAAGTACTTTTAATGTAAACAAACATTTATTTATATTGCATAATAATAATATAATAATTTTTCAGAAAATTTGTAACAGTTGTTACATATTTCTAATATAAATTTTACATTAAGCTAAACAATTTTTATTTCATTAAACATTAAAATTCTAAGGTGGTTCAGTTCTCTTTGAAGTTGTAAATTTCAACTGCAGTGAACAAGTTTTATGTAATATTAAGAAATTCAGAAGTTTTAATTTGAATGATCTAAATTAACACAAGTAATATAACATACATTTTGAAGAGCTGAAATTGTTTCAAGAGCAAGAAATTTTCCTTGGGTGTGTTATGAAACATTGTACCTGGAATCAATGTTGAATTAATGTTAGAAATGTATTTGAAAGTAACTAATGGAAAGGTTTTTCGTGTCGCTTGCACAGTTGCCATACACTGGCACAGAGGTCAAGGTGTTTCCATTATGGGCTGCTGTGGGCATCGCTATTTTACTTGCACAGAGCAGCATATCCGTCATTCTTGCCGGTGGTGTCGGAAAAAATGGCTCCACCGTCGCAGTAAGTCAGTTCCGAAATAATAAAGTCATTGTGTAGTGCACTTTGCATTTTACTTTGGTTTAGACCCACGTTAAAAAAACCTTATTTCCTACATGTAAAATTTCTATATAAAATAAATTAATATAGAATATGTATCAACTACTTTTCTACACATTATTAATATGTGGTATATATAGTCTGATATCTTTGAATAAATTAATTAATTAAACTTCAGTATGAAAATATTTTTTACTGAATTATTGTAAGTAATTTCTGTGGGTCTAAATTCTGCAAGAGCATCACACAGAACGGTTTACTGTATCTTTGTTTCCACTTTGGTTAACACCTTTTCCTAAATATCTAAGAGTCTATATTGATATATCATACATGTCTTCTTCCATTTTATACTCCCATTCATTGATTGCACTTTTTATTAATTACACTGAATGTAATTTTAAGAAATTGCATGAGTTATTAAAAATATATTGTATATGTAATTAATTGTATATAGATAGTGTAATGGTATTAGTCAACATATACTTTATTGTAACTCCATTTTTATTAATTTTAAATTATTTTGTACATATTACGTATGCTGTGCTCAAAATTTATTTGTTGGTAGATGTAGATTGAGTTTATTTTTTTACACTCTAATTTTCATACTTTTAAATCCTTGCACATTGTATTTGCATGTATAACATGTCACCTTGTGAGTGTGAAAGTATTTTAGTAAAAGTAGTTATTATTTGAATTGTTATAGTGTCTAGATTTTACAAATAAAATTTGTATAATACTGATATCTATTTTTTATATACAGAACATTAGTTTAAGTTTTGTTCCCTTTTTTAAAAGCTTGTTCTATTCAAATTGAAGTTTTTGTATTATTCAGTGTTGCATACTGAAACATTAAATGTTAAGAGTTTTATCTGTAAAGGTGTATTGCTTAAACAGCTTGCAAACACTTTACATCTAAGTGCTTTCCTTTTGTAGCTATCAATTGCAGACTTCTTCATAATATTTATTCCATTTCAGGGAACATCAGTTTTATCTCCAATTATACCATTTAGTTTTGTGGTAGTACCAGCTTTTATAATTTATAGAAAAAGTGCTGAGCACGTATATGAAAATCATCCTGCATTGTACATACTTGCATTTGGAATGGTTGCATCTAAAGTTACCAATCGATTAGTGGTAGGTATATTACTGATCTAAATACTTCAATTGTTCCATTCAAAATATATATGAAATATTTTTGTAATACCATTTTTTCATATTTACAGGTTGCACATATGACAAAAAATGAAATGCAATATTTAGACAGTTCACTGATTGGACCAGCAATGCTGTTCTTGAATCAGTATTTCAATTTCTTTATCAAAGAATATTATGTTCTTTGGTTGTGTTTTGTAAGTTTTATCATATTTGTATAAATTTTATTGATTTCTTTTCAATATTTGTATTTTTATATTTTCTGTATTTGCAAATGTTTTTAGATTTGGGTTACTCTGGATTTACTTCGATATAGTGCTCAAATTTGCCTTGAAATCTGTGATCATATGAAGATCAAACTATTTAGGATACCATTAGGAGATCATCGAACGAGCCAGGTTTCTAATACAGCTGAAAAAAATGGTACTAACAGGTCCCAACGTAACAGATTGCAAAAGAAACATCACTAGGATTTACTTGTGATAATGAATGTGCTGTATGATTCATTTTATGTATAAAGGAGAGTTACAATATAAGAAAGCATAGAGATTTGATAAATTTTGTTATGACTGTATATACGAAGTTCGAATAGTACAGTTCATTTATTATCACATTAATTTATAATCACCGCCGCATCTGATTAGTATTGAATATAAATAAAAGGTCTCATCAACATGTTGGTTAAAGATTACTCACTGCTTGTCGTCGATTGCAATCATTTTGTCATCGACGAAGATAAAATATCATGAACTTAGTGATCGAAACTATGAATGGGTAGAACAGTAGGGTATACGAAACAATACAGTTTAAAATATAAAAAGTGATAAATTATTATCGAAGATTCGAATGAAAAAACATGACATAAATTTTAAGCAACTTTATATCATTGTTATAAGTTTTATAACAGTTTAATTAAAATACTGAATGACAATGATTGATTTAACTTTTATTTATTAACAATTGTATAGTATTTGCGTTTGGTAAAGTGAAATGATAATGAACATTCATTTAAAATTTCATAATTTGAGATTTAAAAAAGAAATTTTAAATTAAACAAATGTTAAAAGACATAAGTTTTTACATATTATTTTACAAAAATATTCAAATTTAATTTCAATTTTCAAAGGTTGTGTTAAATGGTACTAAAGTTATTTTTTTAGTTATCACACTATAGTCATGATCTCATAGAATATTTTAACAGTTCATTGATAAGCTTGAAACTAGACAAGAAACAATTATTTCTTCTTAAATTTACAATCCTAGATTACAACTGACATGTGTATACATAGTTATATAATATGAATATTCCAATATTTCCATAGTCAATTATAACAAGATTTACTTATAGTATAAGTAAACTACCAAAGATAGTTGCTTTGAGCTAAAATGATTTTAATCTATAATTTTTGTTATTTTTTTTTAAACTTTCGATTTTATATCATTCAAGAACTGTAAGGAATTGAAGGAGTGTTACTGACTAAAAAATTACAATAATTTTGTGTTTTGAAGTATATTTTCTTTAATCAAATATTTGTTTGTAATAAATAAGGAATTAGCTCAGGTCTGTGGCCTTAATATGTGCTTATGATTGCAATCATATAAAATAGTTTTCGGGTTAGAAGTCAGAGAAGGGGTAAATAATTTTTATTGAATAATTCATTGTGAAACAAATTCTTATTTTTGTTGAATGCAATTTATGTTTCATGAAACGCGAATTGTAAAATTTATTTTTTATTACTTACAAAAAATATGGCATATTGATTCAACAATATTAGTTATCAAAGATATTTAAATTGAAATAATTATAATACCATTGAATATTGATTTTAAGTTATATTCGACATACATATTTAGATCTTCAATATGCTGTAGTTTTTGTGAATAAAGTAAAATAAATTTTATGGAAATATGCGTTACATAATAAAGAATGCATAATTACGAAGTTACAATACGCGTGCTAAAGTATAGTTCATTTAAAAGTCTTTGTGACGATAATTTAGAATGTGTTATTAAAAGAAAGGGAGGAGGAAGTATTTTATACCTTTAGTGATACATCTTAAAAAATAAGAACATATTCTTTTATCATATTGCATTGTAAGAAGCATTAGTCCACAAAAATGTACATTTACTTCATTCAAAACTGTTCAGGGAATAGTTCCTTAAAAAATATGACTATCAATATTGAATCATTGTGCATGAAAAGAAATTATGCAAGAAAATTTCCAAGTTTAAATGATGTTTAGTTTAAACGTTTTATCAAAATCACGTTATTCTACAGTATAACATTTATTTCATTATAGAATGTTCCATTAGCTGTATAGTATTCTAATTGTATGATTCAAACATTACAAGAGTTTTTAATTTTTATCAAAATGTTTAAGATTATCAGAATGACAATATTTCTATGAGGCTTTTTTGCAACATTGCCTGAAAAAATAAATAATGTATCTAATATTCTAATGTACCGTACTTTGGTTTTTGTTCATAAAATGTAATATACTTTTTCGATAAATAATTTTCCTATCACATGCTATCTTTCATTTATATGTTCTCATTGGAAAAGCTTGATACAACGACGAAAATCTTTGGAGTTACTTTCCCGTTTTCCTATCGTCAGATTTAATCCATGTTAATTCCTTCAAGATGGCTTGCAAAGGTGATTCTTTAAAATAAACTCTGAATCATGCCTTCTAATGTACCCTTATAGGCTTTTAAAATATTAATCTGCATGCTGCATTATTGTATGCTATTTGAAGTGTTTATAATGCTCTTTATGAATCATACGTTTTATTAAGAAATTAATGATACTGTTTGATTGAGGTGTAAAAAGTTTTAGGTATAGTTACAACGCATTTTAAAATTTGTAAAGTATTAAAACACTGAATACTTAAATTTGTAACTTTGTAATAAGATTATAACTACAGGTTGCATAAATGTTTCATATCAAACTGTATTGTTAACGTTTAGCATGTCCATGGAATTTCTATATATGCCTTGTTCATTTTATCATGTCATGTATCATTACATTTTATATAATCTAATGAATAGTACAGAAAAACCATATTTTTGTAAATTTAAATTAATATTTTAATCAATCTATAAACTTAATTTATGATAAACATTTGAACAAAGTACTGTCATATATTTTTATGACAAAACATTTAGAGAATTGGTCTTCCTTTAAATACTTGATGAATTATGATGAATTATTTATTGAATATCCATGATAATGTGAAGTACATACAAACCTTATGAGGTACGTAATACAGCAAGTAGAGAATTAATGGCATGTGAGGATTGCATTTGCATGTCTCTGCCTGTTGCTTAGTTCTAATACTTTGTTGAATGTGTTCAGGATGTTTGTTTCCTGAATTCTCTAATATTTTGTACTAAATTATTAGCTTGCTCAAAAGCAAAAAGAAAACTTTTGAACATGGTCATTAATTGGTACACAAACAAGAAGACAAGTATGGAAAAGGAAAGAGCTCAGCAACTATAGGTTTTTTTAATCATAGTTTATTAATAATATACATGTACAAGTAGTTGTAAATACCGTTTTAACAATAATTGCTGAACTCTGGTTACTATTACTGTAATGTGTGGTCTGTTACAAAAACGGGAGTAGTTTACCTAATGTTAGGTAGAGTTATAATGTGTTACTCTATAGTATAACATGTTATTTACGTATGTGCGAATAACACATTAATACCTGGTCAATGTCCATAGTTCTACAACTTTTTATAGTTACTTATGCCTTGTCTTTAACGTACGATTAAAATAATTAAAATATTAGCAGTGTTTCTAATTCTATGTATCAAGTGTAGTATATTTAAGAATATTCTTAATCTCGTTTTTTCTTAGTGAACTATAGAAGTGAATGATGATTAATAACGACTTACATTGTAACAAAGTATTCGCACATGCCCATTGTCAATGTTCTTATTCGTTGGTATGCATGAATAGTTCTGTTCACAGTTCGTATGATGGTGGAACAAGAGCCTCTGTTAGACGAGGATTATCATCACGGATCAGATACCACCCTCGACCTATGACAGTTGCAAAAGTATTCGTCGACGTAAAGATAATTATTTCAAAGTACAGGGTTGCGCAAAACTCTCGGAAACTTATAACCTTACTCTTTTACCGCACATAAAGAAAATAGAGATCTTCCACAATGAAGATCAGTAGAACAGACACCCATAGTAAGTGTTAAAATTTCACTTGGCCTTTGATCCTTTATAGATCGTATTTTTGTCGAGAAATTTAAGATACCGAAGAATGAAAAGTGTAAATACAGTATGATACGATTATAAAGTGTAGTTGAATAGAAAAAAACGAAGGAAAAAGTTTAAGAAGAATTGTGCGTTTGTCCTGTTCAACGACGTAGAAGAAAATTACAGAAGAGACGTTTAGATATATCGATAACGAAATCGTTCGATTTTGTACGAGACTGGTTCATAGATTTTCGAGAAAGTAAAATAAGTGTATTCCCTGTGCGAGTTTCACGATAAGACACTGTCAAGTACAATTTCGCTACCGGTAATCGAACAACGGAAGACTAGTTGTTCTTGCACAGCTAGTACGATATGACTTTGTTACCGATAACGCCTAGATTCGTACAATTTTACAGAGAAAGTAACGTGAAAAAGAATAGGAAGAACGCTTTTTTTTTTAAGATAATATTTATATGAAAAAGTTTAAAAAAGAAGCAAGATGAAAAATCGAATATTTTTCTTAAATTTTCCACGATAGTCAGGGTTAATGAAATAGTACTCAATATACTAGTTCTAGCATAATAAACAAAAAGTTATTGTTAATTGTTGTCGATTGTTGTACGACTTCTAATTTTTAACAGAATTTTTATGATCTCTTATCGTGGATAGCAGTCGAACTATCCGAATAAAAACTACTTACGAAGTCGACAAAAATCTAGACAGAAAAATATAAATAATGAAAAAAAAAACAAACAAATGATTTTACATGAACATTTATCGTAAAATTTAACAATGTCCATTTATTTTCAAGTGATTTATAATACGTCCAGCGAAAAACGAACAGGATTTTATATTTTTCATTGGAGCCGTAATTTTAAGTTGTAGTTACAGTATTACATAATTATACGTATACATAAAGTTTCATTGAAAATTTGATGTTTTAAAGATACCGTTGGCAATTCTAACTGCTGTAACGAAGATCAATGTAATTTATACAATTAAATAAAACCTTAATTACCATTTTGTTACTTCTTTTCTCGTTCATTTCGTTCACGAATTTCGTAAATTTCCGAGTTGCTCGGTGTGCTTTCTCACGTTCGAAAGTGGAACAATTTCGAATAACGATTAAAAACTGGTTCAACCCCTCGCGCCAGAACTAGGTCAGGAGTAATCATTATTTCCCGGGAATACGGTCACCTATAATATTGGACGACATATTTGGGAAAATAGGCGAAACAATTTTTGCAAAAAATGCAATATATTTTACCATATTTCCAATGAAAATGTATCACATATAATCGATAGATTATTAAGAAGATACGTTTAAGATTTATTTTAAGAACATTAAATTTTGATACGCATAAATTTTCAATCAGCCTTATACTTCAGCAAGTAACGAGTCTCTTGATCCGTGGGTGTGAATTTTTTGTGAACCAGCAAAAAAGGGCGGGCGAAAAAACTTGTAGGGCGTCGTAACTATGAAATTCGTAATCAATGAAAGAGCATTGCGTAAACATGTTCCCAGTCTCAAGTTGCCTGGCAAGTTGATTTTTCTTTCTTTCTTCTTTTTTTCTTTGCTCTCTCGTCGAGTCTAAGGATCTCGAAATTTCGTGACAGTACTGCGTTTCACCTCCTACCCTTGTTCGTCTGGTCGACCTGGGTTACCCTTCGCGATACGTGGTCGGCCTCGATGTACGACGCCCAGGAACGTATCCGTATACTCTAAGGACCATGCTCTCCGTACGAAGTTATAATAGATTCGATTAAAGTTGTATCGGATCGAATTATGAAATTTTCAATCCATTTTGATTTTAGTTCAAGGAGAGATTCATCCGAGTATCGATAGTAAAATATGGTCTAAATGAAATAGAAAGTTTGTATCTTGAAATTTTTGGGGTTATTATATTGGTTCTTTAGAAAAATTCATATTAACCTTTCAAAATTGCAAATTAAAGTTTGTTCTGGTCTTCGACGAGAGTATAGGGGAATGTTCATTTGTTAATCTTTCCAAATAATTCAATCTTCTGTACAATTCTTTGATATATTTTGTTAGATCGATTTTAAAGAAGTTTTTTCTACGAAAAAGTCGACGTCCTTCGGGATGCACCTTTAACGGCCAGTGCATGTATACCACTGGGTAAGCGTGCGCATGCGCATAAGATTGCTAAAGGGTAGCTCGGAAGTGGCGATTGCGATCGGCGTGGATCAGTCTTCACTCGACAGCGTCTGAGCGATCATTGATAATTGATGAATGTATCTCTATGAATCACTACAAACCTTAACAATACAGTCTAATATAAAATTTCGTCTTTTATTCAAAGAACCTTTACCAAAAAGAAAGAAACTATTTCCCCCTACAATTCCTAATTACCGATAACAAAAACTATTCATATAATCGCAATAAAAATTTCTTCCATTGGCAACATAACCTCAAATTCATTAATCGAAATTACTCAAAAAAGACCTAATATTAAAAATATCTTAAAACCAATCCTTTCTCCGTTGTACATAAATTCTCGATTCTATAGTTAGCTGTAATAACAAAGTTGCACAACTTCAACACCAACACATACCCATCCCCCATTTGAAAATCGAGCGCAGCGAGATTGTTCCACTAAATTGCCCCTGAATAGCATACCGAGAGTTGGCTTTAATCGAAACACGATTGAATATCGTTTAACAGAGCCAAAAGGGTTCCTATCGACCTTTCGTGTCCCGTACCTACGTCCCTGTTTCTCTTCCACCTCCATGTTCCCGAACATCCAGCTAAGCCTGACAGCGTTATTGATCCAGCTGGTAGCGGAGCGCGTCTATGCAATGAGGCCATCCATTCTAGAGGATGGTGTTCCCTGGGCCAAACCGTTCGTTCAGGCCAGTCGTTGGAAAAGGTGCTAATGTCATACTGCGCAGCTTGAGTGTCACACTTCTTATGTTCTTCTTAATCATGTTAGGCTTGGCCACGTTTTCTTCACCCGACTCAACTACATAATTCCCTCCATCGCAGACGCATTTTACGACGCGCTCAACACCGTCAATTTCGCGTGTATTTCGGAACGACGAGAACACATTCGAAGAATGTAAAAGTTAATCAATCTCGGAGAAGAAATTTCGCTACCTTATGTATTCTGGAAAATAAGTCTCACGATAATATCGATCTCTGTATTTTCATGGATCTTTCGGAATTTTCGGATGCCTCTGCATGATTTTAGGTTTTCATACACTTCGTTGCAACTCTCTGTATCGTGCATTAAACGTCAATGGGTTGAAATAAGCTCGTAATATATTTTTTTAAATAAGAGCACGTAGGAGATTTATTACGCGAGATTGAGCACGCTAGGATGGAAAGGAAAGGAAACGAAGTTATCGAAAAAATTTAACCTCGAAATGAGATATTTTCGAGTGTGAAATTTTTCTTTTTTGGTACATTCGAGCCTAAACGCATGGAGGTAATAGAGATACGTATCTCGCGTGGAACGCACGAGAATTTTGCACGTTCGAGTACAAGAAGAAAAGTGGGACGATCTGTAAATTTTGCATAAAGCGGTAATCGACCATTTTTCAACCGGTTTATTCTCATAAATATCCACTCGCGAGGATATCCTCCCGTTTCCCTGGTGCCCTATTACCCTACAATCTTTCTCATATTTCAAAGGTATCTTCGAATAGCAGAGAAAAAGAATTTTCTGAAATTTCGATATTTATGTCGAAATTATTCGAATTTCCCGCGTAAAGAGACGACGAAAAAGAATTATACGAATTTGGAATGTTAACGTGAAATTTTGCACGATGTTGGAAACGAGGCTGCAATTGACTCGACGAGATTGAAAGGGTCTCGATGTTCCATTATGTACCAGCAACAATTAAATTCCCAAACTATTAAAAGCATTGAGAGACACGTGTGCACGTAGCAGCAGTCTGACGCACACGCACACAAGTGCGTGTGTGTATACGCGTGCACGATAAGTGTATTACACGGTATCGATAAGCTGGCGCACGTTGGTGTGTGCATAGTAAAAGTCGCGAGGAAACAGTACCGGCAATTAACTTGCCAGCTGGTGGCTAAAAAAAGGCGTAATTTCATCCACCACCCGCGTTGTAACCGATAATCACGAAAACTTGTACTACGTTCTTTCCTATTGATTCCACCTGATTCGTCCAATTTGCTTTCTCTGTGCGTCTATCCCGACGGATGTATTGTGCAGTAGTTTTTACTGTTTGTCTAGTAGATTGTACGTGGAGTAGAAATAGCGTGGTAGGATAAATATGGTATCTAAGGATGTAGTAAAATGTAGTATCGGATTATATTGGGCAAGTGGTGCAGTACTTGGTACGGGGTAAACACAGTTTTGTAGTATAGTGGATGGTATTCAAGGATGTAGTAAATGTAGTATCGAATTTTGTAGTATGAAATAGTGTAGTACTCGATGGAGTAAATACTGTTTTTGAATAGTAGATAGTATCTCGGGATATAGAAAATATATGATAGTATCGAAGTGTATAGTAAAAATAGTGTAGTACTCGCTAGATTAAACACAGTGTTGGAGGATAGTAGATAGTATCCAAGGATATAGAAAATATATGATAGTATCGAATTGTATAGTAAGAAATAGTGTAGTACTCGGTGGAGTAAACACAGTGTTGTAGTACAGTAGATAGTATCTCAGGATATAGAAAATATATGATAGTATCGAAGTGTATAGTAAAAACAGTGTAGTACTCGGTGGAGTAAGCACAGTGTTGCAGCGTAGTAGACACTAGTGAAGTATAGTATCCAAGGATATAGAAAATATAGTATCGAATTGTATAGTAAAAATAGTGTAGTACTCGGTAGAGTAAGCACAGTGTTGTTGTGTACTAGACACTAGTGAAGTATAGTATCCCAAGATATAGTATACATTGTACACACTGTATAGTATACACCAGTGAAGATTAATATCCAAGAAAGTAATAAATATAGTATCGAATTGTATGGTAAAAAATAGTGCACTACTCGATAGAGTAAACACAGTGCTGTAGTGTAGTAGACAACAGTGAAGTATATTATCCAAGAGTATAGTAAATATAGTATCGATATTTACAATGGAACTTACATAGTAAAAATTACGGCAGCAAATACAGTACAATGAACATAGTAACGCCTTGTTTAGTAAATAAAGTAGAGTAAATTAGTAAACTGTAAACTGAATGTAATTCACATGTACCATAAACTATACTGCAAGTATAGTACAGTATAGTTTCTTAGGGATAAAGCACGAAGCGTTCAGTTCTACTGTCGTGCACGCGTATGAATTTCCATTTCACTGGGTTACTCTCGGAAAAAACTTCCTTTTCCGAGCGGAATTGTCGAGAGGAAAGTTCGTCGATCCCTTTGCACTCAGGATTAAAGGCTAAATTTCCGCTGAAACTTTCAGTTTCTCCTATTGTTTTACCTTTCTTAACAGAACCTTTCTGTGTATGTGTGTGCGCTTCTACTACATACACATATTGCTCGATTCTTGTGCTAGTTCTCTCTCTCAAAAAAAGAAAAAAAAAGAAGAAGTCAACGAGAACAACGTAATAGGTTTTAATGAAAAAAATTTCTCGTTACAACAAGCGAGCGGTACATTTTCACTTTTCCCAGTTCTTCAATGAGAACCCTTTCTGATAAGACCTACCTACGTACATATTCGTGTCTTTCGTTTTCACTTTCCTCGCGACGTCCCGCGTTACTATACACGTTTCACGACTAATTAATCATCGCTCGGAATAAACTAATTCACAAGTCCTCTAATTTCCTTCGAAGCCAGTTCAAGGCAATTCTCGCGGACCTACAGGCGATATCCTTGAACTGAATAATTAATTCGAGACCCTTCAGGACTAGACAACAGTCGCACTGGAAAAGTAAACTTTCCTTTGTCGTTGTTGTTTAAACATTTAACAACTGAAGTTTCGCGAAAGTTTCGCGGTCGAAGCTTCTCGTTGTTCAATTAACAATGGTAGAATCTCACCTCGACACTCCTCGCTGCAGTTTACGTAGAAACCTTCTGTTCTCTGTTAATTTTAACTTGAGTTAATTTCAACGTGGTCCATAAGTCGCTTTGTCGTTTAAAAAATTGGACAATTTTTTCTCTATTGTATATTTGAAATTTTTTTGACGGTGAAGGTACTTGTGAGACACCCTGTATTAAATTAAATATTAATTTTTGTTTGTGTAACGATGTGTTAGTTAATAGAAATATGAGTTGTTTAATTCGCAGTTGTATCTCAAGGTAAAGGGAATGTGAACGTCATTCGATGCGTAAAAAAAGATCTCTGTATGTATGTATAGGGTGATTAAAGTGTTATAACTTGACAATTTCCTGGTATTACGATTGGCATCGATATTACGGCAATCCTATTATTTGTCGGCTACTACGTTAGCACGTAAAAGAAATGGCCCCTGAAGGTGTTCCCTCTCTACAGATATCCATGAATGAATCCAACTCTCACCTACCACTCGAGAAGACGCATTCAACCCTTCCAATCGTATCGTTCGTATTACCAGTTGGTAGTCTAACGTCAGTGTTACAATTGAGAATTAATAAAAATGTTTTTACCATGAAGTAAATACGAGTATTTTTTCAGCTGTGTATCCTTGATATGTGATATAGAAACTCCTCAAAATTTCTCTTAAGAAATTAACCAAAAAATCTTCACACCACGATTCACATTCATCTTTCTCCCTTTGACTTTCGTATTTCCAAATTCCAATTGCAAATTCCTTCCCTTAATATTCCCCTCAAAAAATTATTCTCAACTCATCCGAAAAAGTCCTCCCACCATGATTCATATTTAACTTTCTCTCCTTTATTTCTGTGTTTCCCAAATTCCCTTCAAAGTTTCTCAAAATTCCCCTTCAAAAAATTATTCTTAACTCATCCAAAAGGTCCTCACACCATGATTCACATTCATTTGTCTCTCCTTTATTTCCAAGTTTCCAAAATTTCCTCCAAAGTTCCTCAAAATTGCCCCAAAAAATTAATCCAAAAAGTCCTCACATCAGATTCACATTCACCCTTCTTTCCTTGACTTTCATATTTCCCAAATTCCCTCCCTCAATATTCCTCTCAAAAAATCATCCCCAACTTCTCCAAACGGTCCTCCCACCGTGATTCACGTTCAACTTTCTCTCCCTTATTTCCAAGTTTCCCAAATTCCCTCCAAAGTTCCTCAAAATTCTCCCTCAAAAAATCATCCTCAACTCGTCCGAAAGGTCCTCACCCTCAACCTCTATCCCTCCAAAAGTCTTCTACAACCGATCCAAAAAAAAAAAACCCTTGGGCATGGTGAGTCAACCAGAAACCCTGATCGTCCGTTTCCCTCCTCGACCCTTATATCGTATCGATCGAAAATTTCCAAAGGGCAATTAAAAACGGTGGAAAAACGTCCCGGGCGAGCGTTTCGTGTCCCTTTTCTAACGCAAGTTCCGCCCCTGGTCGCACGCTTGCCTAGTAGCTGCTCCGCGAACGATCGGCAGTACGGTATCGCCAGTTGGGCGATACGGATTGTGGCCCTGTGAAGACAGCCAAGGCGGTGATTCCCCACCGGGATCCTCGTTCTAACGACACGTAAGTTCCTGGTGGAAAAAAAACCATTGTCATTCATCGTTAGAAAACTAGACGAAACTGACAATTACCAAAAAACAATTCCAACCTATTCTCTTCACTCCGTTCTCTCGTTTTTTCTTCCTGAAATTTCCATCAAGCCGCGACACATACGCACACAGACACACGCGCGCGCGCGAGTCTAGAATGACGTACGAATGTCTGCATGGACGGTTGTAAAGCTTCGATTATGTACATACTGTGCTACGTGTATTCCTCACTCGTCGATTTTTTTTTTGCATATGTAATTCGAAGGACCTCTTGGTTTCCTTTTTTGGGGGGAATTTTAGTTATGGTAATTTTCTCGAATTTTAACGAACCTTTCGTACGCAGTTGGTAAGAGGTAGTGTCGAGTATGTCGAAATGTGTTTTGTTTGAAAGTGTTAACGTATTTAACATATTGCTTGAGTTACAGAGAGATTTTTCGTCGATGGGGTGGTTAAAGGGTTGAGAAATTGTGGTATTGGAAGATTTAAGTCTTCGATGGTTATTTTCATTGGTATCGGTGAGGTAAGAAGGGTTCTATTTCAGGTATTAGACAGTGTATTTCTGCTGGAAATTGTGTTTGAGAGAAAATGGAAACGTGGATTCGTCCACCGAGGAAGTGAACTGGTCTATTGACTTTTTCAGTTTCGTTCGACTGTGCTTCAGGTTCATTTCGGTATCAGAAAATGTTCGAGGAAATATTTTTAAAAACCAACCCTTTTAATTTTGTCTAATTTTCCTGGGAAATTTTGGAATTGTTATAATCGTAGTTTTGGTGGTTCTTGTATAGTGTTTTTTTAAAAGGTTTCTCGTGAATCCTTTTCTCGTAGAATTGAACGTTGCAAGAGCGTAAATAGTGGCAAAATAGCGACTGAAATTTCGGTGAAAAATGAGCGAGAAATTGGCTAATCGAATCATTAATTGCACCACGATCGATATAGGGGAATCTAACGTAATTATTGACGATTGGTGAAATTTCGCGACAGAATACTAACGTGGAACAATTGTGCGAATTACCATAGTGATTTTCATATTTCCCCATGTGAGAATTGTTGGACTTTGGAACCAGTTTTTTCTTAAACACGAAAATTTCAAAAATTCAAAAGTGGATTATTCGGTGCAATTTCTGAATCCGAGGTTCCTCGATGGCACGTTTCATAAGTAATCTTGTGGTAACGAAAGGAACAGGAAGCGGAAGGTTCGGTGTCGGAGAGTGGCGTTTTGTCGCATTATTCTTCTGTTACGTGTAACAGATAAGCCATACAATCGAGTTCAGTTGAAGAAAATTTGATAGTCGCAAAGTGATAGGAAGAAGTCGCAGCAAGATTTTCATAACTATAAGCGTGTTGTTCAGCGCAAACGCACAAGCTTCTTAGCGAAGGAATTCATCGATTAAGAATTTTCCTACCGAAAACCGAATTTCCTAGTTCTTTGTAAAATTGCGAAAATTGCGAATGATTCTTTCTTAGTGAAGCACGAATTTTCCTTTGGAAAACTGAATCTGCAAACCTTAATGAAACTGTGAAAATTGTGAGTTAGTCTTTGTCGTTGAAGTATGAATTTTCCTTTGGAAAACTGGATTTCTTCATTCTTAAGAAAATTGAGAAAATTGTGAATGGTTTCTTCTCGATGAAGCATGAATTTTCCTTTGGAAAACTGAATTTCTTCATTCTTAATAAAACCATGAAAATTGTGAATTATCCTTTCTCATTGAATTGTGAAATTCTGAATTATCCTCTCTCTTATGAATTTCACTCGTTGTTTATAAATTTTCCTCTGGAAAACTGAAGTTTCTTCACCCTCGATAAAACTGTGAAAACTATGAATTACCATTTCTCCTTAAACTACCGATTTTATCTTTCTCCGTTAACGAGAATGAATTTTACAAGGGACAATGGACGATTTTAAAAAATGTTTACACTTAAACCAAAGTAGAACGAGGAAGTTTAAGCGAGGTTCTACTTCGAAGATGCAATTATTGCACCATTTTTGCCTTCTTGGATACGTGGGAAACGATGAAAGAAGCTTTCCGTGGTGTGGCAATTATGCGAGGAAGAGAAAAAAGTTCAGGGACACGTGAACCTCGTCAATGTTAATGTCAACGAAAAAGCTCTCTGTCCTCGTTTCAAGCGAATCTTCACCTAAATGTTGTCCCAGGAAAGCTGAGCTCAGCTCAAACCTTGCACGGTGCTCGAGGGTTTTTGTGATTCTTGTTAACCCAATATGGGTCACGAGGCTCAAGAAATCAATGAGCCTCGTGCTCCAAATATTGTTTCACGTACTATTAGACCGTACTATCAATTAACCTTGCGCGGTTCGATTCACACCTCCTGTCCCTTACGTCAACCTTGAAAAGAATCTTTTTTATTCGATAATAATTCTTCGACATTCTTGTGAACTTCAGATGGTATAGTACGTAGATCGATTAATTAATTTCGAGTAAATGTTAAAATAGAAATATCACGAATTAGTGTTCATAGAGAAAATTACATTTTTTAGATGATAATCAAAATTATATTGTCCAAGATGTGTAATTTATCAAAATTTTGAGGAAAACAGTGTTATCGCTAATTTTTGAAAATATCGCGAATTACTGTTAATATTAATGATAATCAAAATTACAGTACCAAAGATATGTAATTAATACAAATTTTGAGGAAAACAGTGTTATCGCTAATTTTTGAAAATATCGCGAATTACTGTTAATATTAATAATAATAAAAATTACATTACCAAAGGTACACATATTCACGAAATTAAAAAAAGACATCACTAATTTTTGAAAAGTTAGGATTTATATATGCTATTTCTCATCTGGTCGCTACAATTAATGGGTGTTATTATTTGAGGCTTCTGGGTGTACGCCGTGTCCAACAGAAATTCTATTCCGACGTTTTACCAGCATTGCAGCTAGCTTCGTCAGGGTCTGGAGACGCAACTGATAATGGTGTGCGTCAGGGTGTTCACTCCTATAAGTACCCATGTTCATTTAAATCAATTAAAAATCAATTAAAGCCCATTAAAGTCAGTTCATTAACGGGAGGAGGGTGTTCTATTGATGTTATTAGGGTTTTTCATAATGTCTAAGGATTCCATAATTTCCGTTGGACACGGCGTACACCCGGAAGCCTCAAATAATAACACCCATATCGAGCCGGGCCGCGAAAATCTCAAAACTCTCAAACACATTCAAAAATGAAGAAACAATATTAAAAAAAAGAATACTATCACCAATTTAGAAAAAGAAATACTTTCTCCTTATTTTCAAACAGTTACGATTTACGTATGCTATTTCCGATCCCACCGATTCAATTAATTCTTCCATAAACACACCGAAGAATGAAGAAAAATCATGGCGTCCGGATATTATAATAACGAACTCCACTTTCCTTCAGTTTATCTTTCCTTTTATCTTCTCTAAACGGCACAATTTCTCTCCGATCGTTCCGTATAAATACACTTCAAATTTATTCACCAGATACTGTTACGTTAAATAAACCAATTAGAGAGAGAGAGATGATAGAAAGAGATACACAATATCACGAGAATTCAATAGAAAATAACAACGAAGTGGAATTAAACAAGTTTCAATTTACAAAAAATAAATTCGTATACGATCGGTTCCCTACGTTTTTTTCAGATGTTGAAGACCAAGTGGAGAATGATACAGCCATGAACCGATCAGGAGGCGATCCTGAGGAAAGGCAGACGGCTCAGATGACCCGTACACATTGCACAGAACGGTGACAGAGCTGTAAATTACAGCGATGGATATACAGAAGAAGCACCTGTGCCCCCGCCTGGTGGATTATCTCGCCATCGTGGGGGCCAGACTGCCCCCAATTTATCGCCACCATGTGCAGGTTAGCATAACCGACGTACACACGAGTATATTCGAGTAACTCGAAAGTTTGAACGAGACTCGATTTTCCATTCGATTCGATTCGAGTACAGTTTTTACCTGCAATAAAGTGTAGACTGAGGATTTTCACGCGTTTATGGAAAATTTGACGGTTCAAGAATACACGTGATAAGAAAAAATGTATAAATAGACGAGAAATATAGTGCTTATTGTAATTTTTAGCGAATAATATAATTTCTTATTTAGCTTAAATTATTTTAATTACAAAAAATATGAATATACATAAAAATCCGCTGTATGCTAATCGGCTTAACTTTGTTCTCGAGATATGAGTGACACGCTAGAATCGCTGGTACTAGAGTGAGAAAGAATTATATGTACATATTCTATTCTTCTTTTACTCTAGTGCAGATTTTCTCGAATAATTTCGAATTATCAATTGACGATTATTATTATTATTGAGGCTTTCGTAAGCACTGCAGTTTACTTCATTATCAGCTGAGCAATTAAAAAAAATGTTCGTTGATTGGTAAGCAATGAAATAGAACGTACAAAATCACGAACTGAATTTAAAAATACGAATGTCATTATCAATGTCTCCTGAATCCTGAGTAACCCCTTAACCTATGATTTCTTTTCTGACTATGCGTCTAAACGTCAGCTATTTACTGTTTTAGTACTGTATCTGGTAACAAAAGCTAATCTGTTACAGGTTAATTACATTTAGGAATCATTAATTTTGCAAATTGAAACGAAAGTTAGGATCAAAATTAATTTTTCTTACTGATACAACTGTTTTTCTCACACCTTGACCAGAATCTCTGCCACGAGTCTGACTGGTTGCTATAAGTCAAGGGGTTAACATGTTCGCTACCAGAGCCTCGAAGGAAAATCGGCCACCACAGCCCAGATGTTTTATTATTCTAATACGAGCCACCAATTGTTGTTAATTTTTCTAGAACGTATTTGTAACATTCCGAAATAAGTGAAATAAGCAGTTTTACAAACTGACGCACATACGCAACGCCGGGCTCAGATAAGAAAATCGGGGTTAACGTGGTAAGCGAGTTGCAATGCTTACGAAACGTCGGAATACTCGATAATAATAATAATTATGCTCCAAGCTGTGAAAGACTGAAATCTTTCTTCATAGAAGAATTCTTCTATATAGAAGGTGGTTAAAAAGAAGAAAATGTTTAAATTTCTCTTCACGTGTGTGATTACCACAGGTTCCAGAATTACTGCGAAGATATCCGGTGGAGGATCACAAAGATTTCCCATTACCGCTGGATATGGTCTATTTCTGCCAACCCGAGGGTTGCACCAGCGTGGGCCCGAAACGCCTAGCCTTACGAGAGGCCACCTCTTTTACATTCACTCTCACGGATAAAGACTCCGGTAATCGATCAAACCTGTGAAAATTTGTCGAAAAAAATTCATAGAGAAATCTATCGATAGAATAATCGTATCTTCGAAAAATCGAGGAGAAAAGTGAATTTGTAAATGAAAGAGAAAGAAATAAAGATAGAATCCACTTGACTCTTTAGTAACACGAAATTTTGGGTGATTTTCTTTGTCACCGTTTCGTTTGATGCCTAAATTTCTAATTTTATAAATTTTGAATCGAAACAATAATTACATCAAAATTTCACAATTTTTGTAAATTTTCGTACTGTAAATTTTCGTCGAACGAAAAATGGTATTCTTTAATTGAATACTCAAGCAAAATACACGCAGAAGATTGAAAGAGTGAAAGATTCAATATTACCAATATCTTGGAGTGACTTCTCACTTTCGTTTCGTCACAGTTTCGGCGAAATTAGCAATTTTCCCGCGAAAAGTGATAACAACGACAGTGAAGCTTCTTTTTTCCCCGATTCAGGCAAAACTCGCTACGGAATCTGCGTGAATTTCTATCGACCGATAGAAAGGGTTGGAGCCGGGGCTGCTGGCGGGGTCTCGACGAAAAGGGACAAGTACAATACCATGTTTCGAAGGGAGAGCTGGAGAAAGAGCATGGAGAAAAGCACGGATTCTGCCTTCTCTAGGTGACACATAACACGTTATTTTATCGTACTCGTGCATCAAAATTTCCACGTGAAAATTCTAAACCGAAAAAGACAAAAGAAATTCGATCGACTTCTTCTTCTTCCCTGTCGCCTAAGATTAAATGCGAAAGGTCGAGCAAACGAAGAGTGTAACGAATGATCGCGTAAGGGTGAGACACTTCGTCAAGTGTGAAATGTCGATGGAACATTAAACAAATTGGAATTCAAGTGATAAATGTCACGTTCAGTGTCAAAGGATAAATAAATTTCTATTTAAGAAAAAAGAAAAAAAAAGAGTTGCTTAATACTCCTATAAATTACGTTTCCAATTTTGATCGATAAATCTTATTAATACGTAATATAAATAATTCCTATAATAAGTTTTATCTTATAAATAAAACCAAGGTTTTTTTCAGTCGATCTTTTATTAATTAATCTATGGTAGAATGTTTATAATTACTTTTATAGTCCATATTTTCTCGATTGAAATGAGCGTATACTCAAACTAAGAATAGTGTATACTTGTTATCATTTATGAAACTGTTCGAACTTTGAAGGTGTATTTTGCAAATTGGCAACAGAATTTCTCGATTAACCTAATTTTATGGAGGGTGCTGTTTGGTATGATAAGACTGTATCTCTAGCTGTTCTTTATAGCGACTATAGGAGCAGTGCAGTAGGCCCTAGCGACTCTGAGAAAGAATGTCCAAGCAGCAGAAGGGACTCCGACACTTCCCACATACCCAGTGCACCGAGATTAGGTATCACTGCACCGAGTGGAGACAGCGAGAGCGGAGGCAGCCATTCTCCGTCTCCCCGTGCTTCGCGAAGACGACAGGTAACTTCTTAACCCTTTACCTCGCGACTTTTCTCATCGCTACGTAAATTAGTTTTGGCTGTTCGCTGTTTTTGTATAGCTTTAAATTTAAAAAAGTCGAAATATTATAGTATATTAAGTGATCTAATAAGTTCGTGTCGAATTTTGCAGTTTCGATCAATTTTTTGAAGAAACCTTTAAATTTGATAATAAAGAACGTGTAAGCGTTTTCTCGTTTCGCAACGTTTTTTTATCATTTTGGCAAGACCATTACGTGTCGTCGCTTTAGAATTTCCTTGGATTTTCATTAAAGTATCTTTCGCTTCCGGCACGCACTTATGGGATGAACTAATATATAAAAATGTAAATTTAACAGAAATTCGATTCTTCTTTTGTCACATTTTAACCGTAATCTGCACCACGATTTTATCAAAAATTCACTGAAAATTAATTTCGCTAAAATTTCGTTCGATCGAACCTCAGGAGTAAAATTATTTTCCTTCTTTTTTTTTAAATTAAAGGATCAAATTGTAGTCGACTGATGTTTGAAAAGATTAAAATTAAAATTTCTCTCTCGGTTTTGATGCAGAAAAATTCTGATTACCTCAAAATATTTGAGAAATGTACCTTTTTTTTAAATAGTCGATTCATTTTTGAAAAGATTAAAATAATTTCTCTCTCATTTACGATCGAATTAATTTCTGACGTGAAAGAAACTCTGATCACCTCAAAATATTCAAGAAATGTTTTTTTAAATAGTCGATTTATTTTTAAAAAGAATAAAATAAAAATTTCTCTCCCATTTACGATCGAATTAATTTTTACCCTGAAGAAATTCTAATTACCTGAAAATCTCCAAGAAATGTAGTTCTACTTAAATAAAAAAAATTGCCATTAATTTTGTAATTATCTTCAACTCGATCCTCTCCTTTGAACAGATTCTCAAGACTCCCTTATATTTAGTTCCGTTACATAAAACTATGTTACAACTTGCACGCTATATCTCGTCTTAATTATAAGTACCACTGGAGAAATCTAACTTTCTTAAAAAGTACACCGAACGAAAGCGGGAAGTGTCTGAAAGTTTTAATTGCTTTCGACAAGTTCGACTAGATCCTTGAGAACTTCAAAGATAAGCTTGGGACCGTCGTGCTTGCCGATCTTCGTCTCTGATAAAGCCGAATATATTCGCGCCGCCCGACAATGAGTTTCTATTTGAGAATGATTTATCGTGTTTGAAATTCGTCCAGCTTAATCCAGACTTGAAATTTAGGAAAACGAGTAGAGCAATCGATAACGAAACTGTGCTGCTGCTTCCAGAGGATACGAAATCACACGTTGACGTCTTTGTGCATCATCTCCCATCATCCTTTCTTCTCGATGTTCCGCGAATGCCTTTTCGTTCTGAAGAAGATCATCGACGTGTGCAACGAGAGCTCCTCGCCGCAGAAAGTTGGCACATCCAGACAGACCATCAGGTAACAATTAATAGACTGGATCATTTGCAAATGTAATGCCACCTCTTCTACTTTTTCTTTTTTTCTCTTCTTCTTCTCCACGTTCATTCAATTAGCCGCCTCTCTTATGAATATTCAAAGTTTGCGTTTTGCAATTCGTATGTGTCTCCCTCTGTACGCCCGCTTCTGTGTTCTTCCTTTAATTAAAACTTCCACGGTGCAATAAACTGTGGAGAAAGGGAACGAGGCCTGGAATAACTTGGAGAATTTGTAGCTTCTATTTTGGAAATTATTTGCAATGTTTATTATTTTGTGGGATATATTATGTTTAGAGTTTCTGGAATTCTGAACCGCCTGTAGTGGATCTGAGAAATTGCGAATCTGTGCGTGAAAGATTTAAATTTCTTCTATTTCTTTAAAAAATTATAGATTTAAGTTTCTTCGATTTCTTTTAAAGATTTAAAAATTTAAATTTTCTTCGATATCTTCAATTCTTGAAAGATTTAAATTTCTTCGATTTCTTCAAAGATTTAAAGACTTAAATTTTCTTCGATTTCTTCAATTTTTCAAAGATTTAAATTTCTTCGATTTCTTCAAAGATTTAAAGACTTAAATTTTCTTCGATTTCTTCAGTTCTTCAAAGATTTAAATTACTTCAAGTTCTTCAATTCATCAAAGATTTATATTCCTTCAATCCTTCAAAGACTTAAATTTCCTTAATTCTTCAAAGATTTAAATTTCTTCAACCCTCCAGAAATTTAAATTTCTTCAATTCTTCAAAGACCTTTTCTTCAATCCTCCAAAAAAGTTAAATTCCTTCAATTCTTTAAACATTCAAATTTCCTCGATTACCTCTCATTTGCATTTCTCATACTTTTGTAGAAGCGTCCATTTGCATTACTCGCTTATCCTTTGCAATCTAACGGGTGATCTCCTCGTATAGACAAATGCAAAAAAAAAAAAAGAAAGAAATATTCATGCAAAAACAAACGAAATCCAATGAAATATTTATCGCATTAGAGACACAGTGTGGAGTGTTCTAACGGGACAAACGATGGAGGGAAAGCCTTCGATAGTGTTGCACGATGTCCGTGAGATCGAGACATGGATATTGCGATTGCTGAGCAGCCCTGTACCAGTCCCGACAAAGACACGCGTCGAGGTGGAGATCGTGTCGCTAACTATGCAGCCAGCACTCTGTTTTGCACTCCCAGACCACACTAGATTTTCTCTCGTTGATTTCCCTCTGCATCTACCCCTGGAACTTCTTGGCGTTGACATATGCTTGAAGGTCCTCACGTTGATTCTCTTGGAGCACAAGGTAAATATAACGTTGGAAAATTCTCCCCCGAGCGACGCCTCAGTTTGAGTAACCTCGGTGGCATTTGGCGAAGAAAATTTTTGCCACTTTGTAAAATGCGAAATATTTCAATATTTTCGTTTGACTTTTTTACCTCGTTTCAATACTTCGGTAAAATTTATAATTCTCTCGTGACTATTTTCGTGTGACTTTTTTACCTCGTTTCAATACTTCGGTAAACTTTATAATTCTCTCGTGATATGGAACGTGTTGATGCTTTAAACTAGTTACTGTAATTCTACTTTGGCAAAAACTAAAGATTTGACAAAGAAAGTATACAATTTTGAGTGATTTAGAAAAGAAAATATTTTTTTACTGTTAAGTTTTTAACTTTTTTAACTTGTATCTGTTAAGAAACAAAGGTTGAAAATCAGTGCTATAGAGAAATTGTGAAGAAAAAGTTCGATAGTTACCGAATCGACAAATATAACCAGCATGATGTAAGAAAATGGTATAGATAGTTGAAAAGAAGTGATCCATGTGATGCGAGATCAAGCCCACGTATAAAACAAACATTAGACTAGCTATTGGTGTACTCAGTTCTACAAACTGCCAGGGTTCGTTGAAAAATGGCGGTTACACTTGAGAAACTCCTCTCGTTTGATCATTAATCCTATATTTCATCTATCGTTATATTTTATACCGAGTAAGAAAAAGAAAAAATACCATTTTCCTTTCACTGAAATTGAAGAGAACCAAGTATAGATCATTAATCTCATATTCTAGCTATTGCAATATTTTATACTGAGTAAGGAAAAGAAAAAGTACCTTTTTCTTTTCACCGAGATTGAGGAGCACCAAGTTTACTACTGTAATATTTTATACTGAGTAAAAAAAAGAAAAAGTACCATTTTTTTTTTCACTGAAACTGAAGAGAACCAAGTATAGATCATTGATCTCATATTCTAGCTATTGCAATATTTTATACTGAGCAGAAAAAAGAAAAAGTACCATTTTATTTTCACTGAAACTGAAGAGAAGCAAGTTTAATATTGCAATATTTTATACTGTGTAAAAAAAAGAAAAAGTACCATTTTCTTTTCACTGAAACTGAGGAAAAGCAAGTTTAAACCCAATAATCCTACTTTGCAATATATTATACTAACTAAAAAAAAAAAAGGAAAAAGTACCATTTTCTTTTCACTGAAACTAAAGAAAGCTAAGTTTAAATCATTAATCCTACATTCCAGCAATCGCTGTCTAAGAAAACGTAAAAGTACCATTTTCTTTTCGCTGATAAGGAGCAAACAAGTTTGAAAAAAGAATTTCCCATTAATCGACGTATAAATTATATCTGCTTTCAGATTGTGTTACAATCCCGCGACTACAATGCCCTGTCGATGTCCGTAATGGCGTTCGTTACGATGATTTATCCTCTGGAGTATATGTTCCCCGCGATACCGTTGTTACCCACGTGCATGAACTGCGCGGAACAGTTGTTGCTTGCACCTACACCATTTGTTATCGGAATACCCGCTACTTTTTTATTGTACAAAACGAACTTTAAAATGCCCGATGACATTTGGCTAGTGGATCTAGACAGCAATAAGATAAGCGCACCTACTGGTCTCGGTGATCAATTGCCCTTGTTGCCCGAACCAGAAGGCACCGTACTAAAGAACCACTTGATACAGGTAAATAAGAACACCGTTTATCCGACAACGTGAATCGACACTTTCGCAGTTGATCGAAATTTCAGGAAAAATTCCAAAGATAATTCTCTGATATTAATCTAGAAAAAATTCTGTGGAATTTTATTTCTATTTGAAAAAATTCTGTCGAATTTT